CCGAGCGTTGTCATGTAGGGAGAATAATTTTGTCGTGTCTGGAATTATGTGATTATATACCCGTGATTTCCCCTCGCCTTCGGATATGCCTCCGATTATATATGCGTCGATTATTCCGATTACGGTCGGAGTTAATCGTGATTATGTAGCGGTTGCCGATCATCTTTGTTTGCGGCGCTGCTAGTTCGGCTCTATGGCCGATCGTTCCCGAGCGTGTCTGCCGGGTGTTCGGCTAGGCTCGTGAGCGCTTGTTGAGGCGCGATGGTAGCGTAGGTCGGGGGGCGTGCGCCCAGCTGACTGCCGCGTGGTGTTTAGTGGCAGTCAGCGTAGTAACAAGCAAAATTTTGTTCGTTACAAAAGGTGCCTTTTCACGCGTCGCTCGTCGCTGGATTTCTCGGTACGTGATTGGCCGTAATTACTTTTGTCGCTGATAACTCTGTTGATCCATGAAAAGAATTCAAGCGATATTTTGTAACCTGAACATAGTGAAATTGTATAAACAGTACATACTTGTCTTGAAAGGTGTTTAGTGAGAGATGAATTTCAAAATTTAGTTTAATCTGTTATTGATAATTAATATATTCGATTTTCGGAAAATTTTAAATTTTGTGAAAGTACTTAGTTTTTGAGAAGTAAAAATTAAGAAGTTATTAATTTCCTTTTCTTTAAAGTTATACAGGTGTGTGCAAGAAAAGCAATCTGTAATGCTAGCTTACAAATATCAAACTTGGGTTCATCAACACAATCAATACATCAATACAAAACAGCCTTGATAATTAATAAAAAGAAAAGTGAAAAACGCAAGAAAGTGCATGCTGCTGTTGCAGTACACGAAATATTGAGAAAAGAAACAAGAACGTATCAGCCTAAACATTTTTGGATTGACCCATTATTTCATGAACGTCATACTTATGGATTTTATCATGCCTTATATCCTGTCATTTTATTAAACGTGGCTTGATTCAGAAATTATTTTAGGATGACTGCAACACAATTTGAGCAACTACTAGAAATGGTTGGTCCTATTATTATAAAACAAACAGTTATTCGTGAACCGATTTCAGCGGAAGAACGTTTGTCATTAACTCTCAGATATGTAAAAATGTACAACAAATCTTATAACAAAATTAGTGTTCTGCACTCAAGTTTTATAACAAAATTAGTATTCTGCATAATTATATGCATGTTTATATAAATATAAAGAAGCATACTATAAAAATTCTTTCAGATTCTTGGCATCAGGGGATTCAATGACTTCAATGTCGTATCAATATTTGATTGGTTTGACAACTGTCACTAACATAATCGATGAATCGTGTGAAGTAATTTCGAATTGCCTGCGAGAAGTTATGCTCAAAGAGTCCATAGAAACTGATGAATGGCGTAGAATCGCTAAAAATTTTGAAAATACTTGGAACTTTGTACAGTGTATTGGAGCAATCGATGGAAAACATGTTATGATACAGGTTGCAAATTCTTTTATCCGAATGTATTGGAAAACAAACTGTTTTCTAACACTGAGTTCGTAAAGTTAGTTATTTTACTAAACCCTTTGATGTTTTTTAGTGCCCTAATAATGCCGTTTCGCTGTATTTTAATTACAAACACTGGAACAGCATAGTATTGCTTGGAATCTGTAACGCTGAATACATTTTTACGTTTGTTAATATTGGAGCTTACGGCCGACGTAGTGATGGAGGAATTTTCAGGGATTTTATGATAGGAAATTTGTTTGAAAAGAAAAAAGTGAATTTACCCGAGTCAGAGTCAATTTCAAAATTAGATGTAGTGCATGTTGGAGAAACTGATGGTTTAACTGAAGTTGCAGGTAATTCACAGTAATACAAGATATTATTCTGTTGTATTTTCACACGTGCATATTGTGTTATCTATATATATAAAACGTTATCTATATAAAAGCAGAATTAGATTATTATATATTATATTTTGCATGTTATAAAAAATATCTTAAAAAAAACTAATATTATTGAATTAATATTATTGAAGAATTCTCGGAAAATACAACTATTTACCCTGTTGATCAATTACTAAAATAATGTTACTTTATCTATTGTTTTATTATTATCTATTTATTCTCTATTATTGTTTTATTATTATCTATTTATTATCTATTATTATTTTACTATTATTTATATATTATCTATTATTGTTATTATTGTTTTATCTATGTTATTTATATTATTGTGTTATTGTTATTGTTATATATATTGTCAACGAGGCAATATATCTGTTGTAAGATTGTATTCCGCCTGACTCGCTGCGATATATGGTATATGGTATAAAGCTGACGCTTTATTTGTGACTGAGAGGTCTCGGGAATAGTTGTGGGAAGATGTTAACAAGTTCCTGGTCATATATTACGTCACCAAGACAAAATATTGCTTCTTGTAAAATGGAATTCCACCTGACACGCAGCAACTGCTGGTACGGTTGATGCTTTATTTATATATTATAAATTTTTGACGGCCGTATTGCAAAATCTGACTATGTAAGTCCTCAGGTATAGTTCAAGGAAGATGCTGTAACAGTTTAATAATAATACGTTTCGTCAACGAGGCGATATTTTGCATCTCGTAAATAATTTTTCGAATGATTCGCTGCGAAGCTTGGTACGCGGACGCTTCATTTATTTTTCATAAATTGTGGACGGCTGAATTGTAAAACTGGTTCTGTAGGGACCTCGATAATAGTTCAAGGAATATTTCATATCAATTTGGTGGTTACATATCGTCAACGTGTACAACAACAAAATATCTTACGTTTTAAAGTGGAAGCTGGAAGGTATTCGTACACATACGCACGGCAATACTTATGCACTGCTCATATATACTAACGCATTACTCACGCAAGGCAGGAAGGTTAGGTCATATAGGCTGCAGTATAGTGCAGCTGGGCTACACTTTCCGTGTTATGTACACCTACATATTTTGCCATGTATACATCATATTCGCTTATCAGACTTACATAGGCGTCTTCCTTATATTAGTATCTAGGGTCCTACAAAGTCCGATTTCGCATTTAAGTTCTTGAAAATTTGTAATAATTGAAAATATGGGCTCGTGTTGTACCGCGGGATGAATGTCCATTCAAATTATTGAATCGATCTTTATTTCGATTTTTTTTCCAAGAAAGCGCTCTGTACAACCCTGCGGACGTTTCTCCTGATTGCAAATATCATACATATAAGGTGATTCTCTCCGTATTTTGTTCATAATTTGTAGTATAATTTTGCCTAATTCGCGGATCTCCGCGAGAGATCTCTAGTGTGGCTCCTGCAGACCCTTAAAGGTGCCTTTTCACGCGTCGCTCGTCGCTGGATTTCTCGGTACGTGATTGGCCGTAATTACTTTTGTCGCTGATAACTCTGTTGATCCATTAAAAGAATTCAAGCGATATTTTGTAACCTGAACATAGTGAAATTGTATAAACAGTACATACTTGTCTTGAAAGGTGTTTAGTGAGAGATGAATTTCAAAATTTAGTTTAATCTGTTATTGATAATTATTATATTCGATTTTCGGAAAATTTTAAATATTGTGAAAGTACTTAGTTTTTGAGAAGTAAAAATTAAGAAGTTATTAATTTCCTTTTCTTTAAAGTTATACAGGTGTGTGCAAGAAAAGCAATCTGTAATGCTAGCTTACAAATATCAAACTTGGGTTCATCAACACAATCAATACATCAATACAAAACAGCCTTGATAATTAATAAAAAGAAAAGTGAAAAACGCAAGAAAGTGCATGCTGCTGTTGCAGTACACGAAATATTGAGAAAAGAAACAAGAACGTATCAGCCTAAACATTTTTGGATTGACCCATTATTTCATGAACGTCATACTTATGGATTTTATCATGCCTTATATCCTGTCATTTTATTAAACGTGGCTTGATTCAGAAATTATTTTAGGATGACTGCAACACAATTTGAGCAACTACTAGAAATGGTTGGTCCTATTATTATAAAACAAACAGTTATTCGTGAACCGATTTCAGCGGAAGAACGTTTGTCATTAACTCTCAGATATGTAAAAATGTACAACAAATCTTATAACAAAATTAGTGTTCTGCACTCAAGTTTTATAACAAAATTAGTATTCTGCATAATTATATGCATGTTTATATAAATATAAAGAAGCATACTATAAAAATTCTTTCAGATTCTTGGCATCAGGGGATTCAATGACTTCAATGTCGTATCAATATTTGATTGGTTTGACAACTGTCACTAACATAATCGATGAAACGTGTGAAGTAATTTCGAATTGCCTGCGAGAGGTTATGCTCAAAGAGTCCATAGAAACTGATGAATGGTGTAGAATCGCTAAAAATTTTGAAAATACTTGGAACTTTGTACATTGTATTGGAGCAATCGATGGAAAACATGTTATGATACAGGTTGCGAATTCTTTTATCCGAATGTATTGGAAAACTAACTGTTTTCTAACACTGAGTTCGTAAAGTTGGTTATTTTACTAAACCCTTTGATGTTTTTTAGTGCCCTAATAATGCCGTTTCGCTGTATTTTAATTACAAACACTGGAACAGCATAGTATTGCTTGGAATCTGTAACGCTGAATACATTTTTACGTTTGTTAATATTGGAGCTTACGGCCGACGTAGTGATGGAGGAATTTTCAGGGATTCTATGATAGGAAATTTGTTTGAAAAGAAAAAAGTGAATTTACCCGAGTCAGAGTCAATTTCAAAATTAGATGTAGTGCATGTTGGAGAAACTGATGGTTTAACTGAAGTTGCAAGTAATTCACAGTAATACAAGATATTCTGTTGTATTTTCACACGTGCATATTGTGTTATCTATATATATAAAACGTTATCTATATAAAAGCAGAATTAGATTATTATATATTATATTTTGCATGTTATAAAAAATATCTTAAAAAAAATTAATATTATTGAATTAATATTATTGAAGAATTCTCGGAAAATACAACTATTTACCCTGTTGATCAATTACTAAAATAATGTTATTTTATCTATTGTTTTTTATTATCTATTTATTCTCTATTATTGTTTTATTATTATCTATTTATTATCTATTATTGTTTTACTATTATTTATATATTATCTATTATTGTTATTATTATTTTATCTATATGTTATTTATATTATTGTGTTATTGTTATTGTTATATATATTGTCAACGAGGCAATATATATCTGTTCTTGTAAGATTGTATTCCGCCTGACTCGCTGCGATATATGGTACAGCTGACGCTTTATTTGTGATTGAGAGATCTCGGGAATAGTTGTGGGAAGATGCTATAACAAGTTGATGGTCATATATTACGTCACCAAGACAAAATATTGCTTCTTGTAAAATGGAATTCTACCTGACTCGCTGCAACTGCTGGTACGGCTGGTGCTTTATTTATATATTATAAATTTTTGACGGCCGTATTGCAAAATCTGGCTATGTAAGATTCTCAGGGATAGTTCATGTTGAAGGATGATGATGTTAGTCGTATAGACTGGTATTGATTATACCGTTATTTAATTTAATGTTACATTCTGTTTTTTATATTTATTATATTAACATACTTGTATTTAGTTATTTTAAGGATCATTGTCAGTTAGTTATTTCTTTGTATGTTCAAGAAACCACATTGTTATTGTACATTTTGTGAGTGGTCCTTGTCTGGTGCTTCCTGTCGTATGAGACATAAATCGTGTAAACAAGACAGAAGACGATTATTTAAAAAAGGAAAAGAGAGACAAGCCCATATTGTAAAGAGCAAAGCGGAGCAACACTGTGCGTAGAGACAGCGAAAAGGACGAAACGGCGAATAAAGAGGATCATCCTGAACATATTAATTGTATTGTATCGTATTGTTTAATTAAGTGCCGACTGCCAGATCAGAATTTCCGATCCCTTCTCTACTGAATCGTCACCATGCTCGACCGATACTAAAAATTATTCCCACACTACAGTGGCAAATAAAGAAAAAAAAATTCTTTTAATTTCTTTTCTATAAGAATTAACGATTTTTACAGGAGAAAGATGAGCACGAGGCTCCAAAGCAGGCGGCCGAAGCCGCTCCTGCGGTCGTCAAGATCCCCTGCGGACACTTGAAAAAAAGGTGAGATCGAAGCTCTAAGGAAGCTGTGCTCCTAAAGCACGGTAAAGCCGCAAACAATCTCATTAATTGTGTTCGATAGAGAGCTCCAGTAATGGTTTCGCTCGGTTTGAGCAACTCATAATACACGACACCAAGCTGATCCCACCAAATACACAGCATGAGTTTTTTTCCATGAATATTCGGTTTGGCTGTCGATGTTGAAGCATGGCCAGGTGGTCTCCATGATTTTCTCTTCTTTGGGTTCGTAGTGGATCCATTTTTCATCACCAGTGACTACACGATGCAAAAAACCCTTTCTTTTATGCCTGGCAAGCAGCATTTCACACGTGCAAAATCAACGTTCAACGTCTCTCGGCTTCAGTTCATATGGAACCCAATTTTCTTGTTTTTAAATCATTCCCAATGATTTTAAACGATATGAAATTGCTTGTTAAGTCACTTGTAATGTAAGTGCAAGTTCTTCTTGCGTTTGGCACGAATCTTCCTCCAATAATGCTTCCGTGTCTTCGTACACTTTCGGCCTTCCACAACGTTCTTTGTCTTCCACGTCAAACTCACCGTTTTTAAACTTTTGAAACACTCACGACAACTTCTCTCACTTAAAGCAGTCTCACCATATGCTTCTACAAGCAATCGATACGCCTCCAGCGAAGGCTCTGGCAAGGCGCATAACGGCTCGTTGACCAAGAAATGGACGGGATTGAATGCAGCGAGGTCGTCCAGATCGTCCATCAGCGCTTGCAGCGATCATGAATTTAAGTACGTCTCGATTTGTGCCAAGAGCGTAATTATCTCTTCTAGCGAGTTCTCCACATTGTTCTCCACTGTCATCCTCAGATAGAACACCGCGGCGTATGTGAGCTCTGAAGCGTCAGGGAAGTCATAGAGTTCCGCTATGCAAGTCGACAGCTCGGCACCGATCCATCGTGGGATGTGAAGTTCGCGCAGGAGAGGAAGCTCTGTGCAAAACGCCTCCCAAGCGGCAGCGTCCCCAGGGGCAGTGGCTCATTCCAGCCGATCCGCTTCAGCCATGTCGTCTGGATGAAGCACTTAGCCCTCACAATGACGGAATATCCATCCAAGCGGATCGAAGAGTCGAGAAGTCTGCGACAAGATGATGTGCTTCGTGGTACGCCCTCCTTAAATGGTCGAATCACGAAGGAAAAGGTGTCGTCGTTCGGCCTCCACTCCAAGCCCAAAGTGGAGTGTCTCTTTGCAACTCGTCAGGCCCGAATACTGTATATTGCCCATCGTCCGCCGATAAGTCCGCAATCAACTGTTCGTGGTTAGTTGCCCATTTTCGTAGCGGTAACCCGCTTGCCGTGCATTCCAGCTGACGGTGCATCTTCAAGGCTTTGCGCATCGTAGAAGCCCCCGTGAGAATGTCATCGACCTCGTCCCGCAATGTGGCAGCTCCTAAAGGGAACCTGGGTTTTTCGTCCTTGGCCAGTCTCCACAGCGTCTGGATGGCCAAGAACGGCATGCAAGCTAAGCCATAGGTGACAGTGTTCAGGCGGTATGCCTGAATTCTTCCTTCTTTACGTTACAAGATCCTCTGAAGATCACAGTCTTCCTCGTGTACCAAGATCTGCCAGTACATTTTCTTCATGTCGGCCACGAAGACGTAGCGATAACGTCGCATTAAGTGCATTAAGAGACCCGTCAGGCTTAGTCCCATCAAGAAGCAATCGTTGAACGAATGTTCCTCACATATTCTCTGAGAGCCATTGAAAAGGACTCGCAACTTGGTGGACGTGCCGAACTGCTTGAACACGTCATAATGCAGCAGGAAGCAGTTCGAGTGCACCCCCGACTCCGACTGGGAAGCATCAGCTGACGTGTGACCGAGATCCTCATATTCTGACAAGAAATCGTCGTATAGTTGGCGGAATGTCGGATTCTTCTGGAAATCTTCCTCCATTGTCTGGAGCATCTGCATTACTGACCAACGTGTGGATAATAAGTCTGGCAAAGCGGACTTGACCGGAAGGCGCACTGTGCATCTTCCATCCTCTCGCCAAGAATGTGTGGCAGCGAAGTACTCCTAGTATCGCTGCTCCTCAGGTGATACTGGCAGTGAGCCGCGGGAAGCCTTCTCCTGCTCCCAGAACCGGCAGACGGCCACCGACAAATCCTCGTCAATCGAGCAGTGAAGCAAGTTCGTTACTTGTCCCGACCTTGACGCTTCGATGCTCCCGGATAGGATCCATTCCAGCGATATCCTCTGTGCGATGAGTTTGCCCAAATCACTCCTCCTCAGGCCGTCCTCGATGATGCGCACATAGATTTCGGCGCCGAGCAATAGCTTACACCTGATCCCGGCCCGCGTATTCTGGGTCGACCTTGAGGCCACTGATATGCAGCCATAGAATGCCCGAGATTGCAAGGCCCACTCCGTAAGATGTGAGGCATGGCAATATGAAAGCCGACACCTCCAACGTCCCAGAAGAGAGCCGACCCACACGCGGACGCGACCGCCTGCACAGCCGCCGCCGACTCTTATCACGCAGACCGACGCTGCTGCGCGCGTCACATCAAGCTATTGCATGAGAAACTTCGTGATCAAAAAGTTTTCGAACCCGGGTCCACTAGCGTTCACGCCTTGTGGACGTTGCCGAAGCGATCGGTCACCCTAATGCACGCTGTGGCGAGCAGAACCGCCCGAGATTCCCTATATAGTTTACGCACAAATTGTGCCTTTTCACTGCTGTCCTGCGTTTCTTAGCTTGAGCGAATTTACATTTGTCGCGGAAGAGCAGGTAGGTAGGTATAGGTAACCCAGGTAGTGTAGAAGCCTATAAGCATTATTTGGACGAGAGGGATGTAAACTCAGGCATGCGAATTGCTTTTTGCCGTATTAGTTTCTACCAGTTCATATCATAGACGTATAATAACTAGATCGCACATTCGACCAAAAAGTTGTCAAATATTAGAAAGAGAGAATACGCTTTAGAATACCATTCTGTCTTGATTTGACAATGTTTGGAGTAAGAATTTACGTATACCGCTTTGCTCCCCTCTACCTTCCTTTTTCGTCCCTCATCACAGGCTTCTTTACCCTACTACACATCTTTAGAAAAAGACAGAATGGTACCCGTACAACAACTATCTCTTTCTAATATTTGACGCGTTCTAACAAAGGGAGACGTTGAGACCGCGCAGTCTAGGTATTACACGTCTATGGTTCACATATAGACACAAGTCTGTGAAATACGTTATGATATTCAGAATATTAATTCTGCAGTTTATGGTAATATAAGGAGGCAAAAGGAAAAAACAAGAGAAGGGGAAAAAATAAGAGACGTTAGAAAACACGATGCAAGGAAAGACACTACAAGGGACGCTGCAGAGAAAGAATCAGAAAACGAAAGACGAAAGAGAGAAGACGCAGTGTGTTTTGTTCTATTCTTATTTAATGTACTGTTTTCTCACCTAATAAGGTGAACAATTTAATATACACACAAGGGAGCTACAAAACTACTATCCCTACACTAGTAAAAGTATGTTTAGATGTTTATAATTTTTAATGAAAATATTTGAGTGAATATCTTATTTATTGCTCTAATTTATTGCTATGATATTCAGAATATTAATTTTATAGTATGTGATGATATGAGAGGGCAAGAGAAAAAACAAGAGAAGGGGGAAACAAGAGACGTTAGGACGACGTAAAGAAAGACGTTGCTGCAAAGGACGTTGCAGAGAAAGAATCGGAAGGCCAAAAACGAAAGAGAGAAAACGCGGTCTGTTTGTTCTATTTTTATTTAATGTTCTGTTTTCTCACGTAATAAGATGAACAATTTATGTATACACAACGGAGCTATAACAAACTATCATCCCTACATTAGCAAACTATGTTTAGACGATTATAATTCTTAATGAAATTATTTGAGTGAATATTTAATTTATTGCGCACTATGATATTCAGAATATTAATTTCACAGTTGTGAGGCATTTCATTTCATTTGCACCGTCGCGTGATGTTTATGTATTTGTGCTTTGGCGCCATTTTATTTATATTCTAGTATGGACATAGGCAGCACCGTATATATATATAACATAGTTATATACTTAATATAGTTCGTGCGCTTTCGTTGGTATTCGTAACTCTTCGTGCGCCTTCGTCTCTCTCGTAGCTCTTTCTAGCCTCCTTTGTCTCTTTCACTTCTCTACATCATTAATCAGAAGGTAGATGGGTTTTTCAGTTCTGGAAATTTAAGTATTCGCACAAGGAATAAGTGTGCTCATTTGGACCCCAAAACAAGCAGCGGAAATTAATTATTGGATAGTTTCCCAGTGTGGTAGATTGAGAAACTGCACAACAGAGTATGATAATATGAGGGGGCAAAAAGAAAAGACAAGAGACGTTAGAAATCACGACGTGAAAAAAGTCGCTGCAAGAGTCGCTACAGAGAGAATTGAAATACGTAAGACAGAAGACGCGGTCTGTTTATTTCTTTCTCATTTAATATTCTGTCTTCTCACTTCATAAAGTGAACAATTTATATATATACAAAGCAGCTACAAAATTACCATCCTAATACTAGTAAAGGTATGTTTAGTCGTTTATAATTCTTAATTAAATTATTTGAATAAGTATCTAATTCATTGCTCGCTATGATATTCAGAATATTAATTCTACAATTTGTGATATGATTGTGCGAGGAAAAAAATAAGAAAAGGGGAGAAAAACAAGAGACGTTAGAAAGGACAACGCAAGGAAAGACTACAAGGGAAGCTACTGCAAGGGAAGCTGCAGGAAAAAGAATCAGAAAACGAAAGAGAGAAGACGCGTTCTGTTTTGTTCTATTCCTATTTAATGTTCTGTTTTCTCACCTAATAAAGTGAACAATTTATATATACACTAGGGAGCTACAAAATTACCATCCCAATACTAATAAAGTACTAATAAAGGTATGTTTAGTCATTTATAATTCTTAATTAAATTATTTGGGTGAATATCTAATTTATAATATCTATTATAATTTATATAGAGAAAGAATCGAAGCACGAAGGACCAAAGAGAGAAGACGCAGTCTGTTTTGTTCTATTCTTATTTAATGTTTCGTTTTCTCACCTAATAAGGTGAACAATTTATATATACAGAAGAGAGGTATAAAACTACCATCCCTACATTAGTAAAAGTATGTTAGATCATAATTCTTAATGAAATTATTTGAGTGAATATTTAATTTATTCCTCGCTATGATATTCAGAATATTAATTTTACAGTTTATGAAAATATGAGGGGGCAATAGAAAAAAAATGAGGAGGAAGAAGACAAGAAATGTGAGGAACAACGATGCGAAAAAAGACGCTGTGAAAGACGCTATAGAGAAAGAATCGAAGGACAAAAGGCGAAAGACAGAAAGCATAGTCTTTTTGTTTCTCCCTTATTTAATGTTCTGTTTTCTCATCTAATAAGGTGAATATTTTATATATACACAAGGGAGCTACAAAGCTACCTTACACTAGTAAATCTAATCCCTACATCTAGTAAAAGTATGTTTAGTCGTTTATAATTCTTAATGAAATTATTTGAGTGATTATCTAATTTATTCCTCGCTATGATTTCAGAATATTAATTTTAAAGTTGTGATGATATGAAGGCGCGGGAGAAAAAACAAGAGAAGGGGAGGAAACAAGAAACGTTAGAAAAGACGACGTGAGAAAAGACGCTGCAAGGGACGCTGCAGAGAAAGAATCGGAAGACGAAAGAGAGAAGACGCGTTCTGTTTTGTTCTATTCCTATTTAATGTTCTGTTTTCTCACCTAATAAAGTGAACAATTTATATATACACTAGGGAGCTACAAAATTACCATCCCAATACTAATAAAGGTATGTTTAGTCATTTATAATTCTTAATTAAATTATTTGGGTGAATATCTAATTTATAATATCTATTATAATTTATATAGAGAAAGAATCGAAGCACGAAGGACCAAAGAGAGAAGACGCAGTCTGTTTTGTTCTATTCTTATTTAATGTTTCGTTTTCTCACCTAATAAGGTGAACAATTTATATATACAGAAGAGAGGTATAAAACTACCATCCCTACATTAGTAAACGTATGTTAGATCATAATTCTTAATGAAATTATTTGAGTGAATATTTAATTTATTCCTCGCTATGATATTCAGAATATTAATTTACAGTTTATGAAAATATGAGGGGGCAATAGAAAAAAAATGAAGAGGAAGAAGACAAGAAATGTGAGGAACAACGATGCGAAAAAAGACGCTATGAAAGACGCTATAGAGAAAGAATCGAAGGACAAAAGGCGAAAGACAGAAAGCATAGTCTCTTTGTTTCTTCCTTATTTAATGTTCTGTTTTCTCATCTAATAAGGTGAATATTTTATATATACACAAGGGAGCTACAAAGCTACCTTACACTAGTAAATCTAATCCCTACATCTAGTAAAAGTATGTTTAGTCGTTTATAATTCTTAATGAAATTATTTGAGTGATTATCTAATTTATTCCTCGCTATGATTTCAGAATATTAATTTTAAAGTTGTGATGATATGAAGGCGCGGGAGAAAAAACAAGAGAAGAGGAGGAAACAAGAAACGTTAGAAAAGACGACGTAAGAAAAGCCGCTGCAAGGGACGCTGCAGAGAAAGGATCGGAAGACGAAAGAGAGAAGACGCAGTCTGTTTTGTTCTATTTTTATTTAATGTTCTGTTTTCTTACTTAATAAAGTGAACAATTTATATATACACAAGGAAGCTACAAAACTACCATCCCAACATTAGTAAAGGTGTATTTAGTCGTTTATAATTCTTAGTGAAATTATTTGAGTGAATATCTAATTTATTCCTCGCTATAATATTCAGAATATTAATTCTAGTTTCATTCTAGTTTATGGTAATATGAGGGGGCAAGAGTAAAAAAGAAAAAGGAGGTGGAACAAAACAAGAAACGTTAGAAAGGACGACGCGAAAAAAAACGCTGCGAAAGACGCTATAGAGAAAGAATCGAAGGACGAAAGACAAAAGAGAGAAGACGCTGTCTGTTTTGTTCTATTCTTATTTAATGTTCTGTTTTCTCGCTTAATAAGGGTACAATTTATATGTACACAAGGGAGCTACAAAATTACCATCCCTCCACCAGTAAAAGTATGTTTAGACGATTATAATTCTTAATGAAATTATTTAAGAGAATATCTAATTTATTCCTATGATATTCAGAATATTAATTTTACAGTTTGTGATGATATGAGTGCGTGGGAAACAAAAACAAAAGAATATGGAAAAAAACATGAGACGTTAGAAAGGACGACGCGAGGAAAGACGCTGCAGGGGACGCTGCAGAGAAAGAATCAGAAGACGAAAGAGAGAAGACGGGGCCTGTTTTGTTCTATTTTTATTTAATATTCTGTTTTCTCACTTAATAAAGTGAACAATTTATATATACATAAGGGAGCTACAAACCTACCATCCCTACACTAATAAAGGTATGTTTAGTCATTTGTAATTCTTAATGAAATTGAGTGAATATCTAATTTATTCCTCGCTATGATATTCAGAATATTAATTCTACAGTTTATAGTAATATGAAGGGGCAAGAGGAAAAACAAGACAAGGATGAAGAGAATAAGAGAAGTTAGAAAGGACGACGCGAAAAAAGACGCAAAGTGAACAATTTATATGTATATGTAAGGAGCAACAGAATTATCATCCGTACACTTTAGTAAAGGTATGTTTAGTCGTTTATAATTCTTAATTAAATTATTTGAATGGGTATCTAATTTATTGCTCGTTATGATATTCAGAATATTAGTTCTACAGTTTATGGTAATATGAGGGGGCAAAAGGAGAAAACAGGACAAGGAGGAAGTAAACAGGAGGTGTTGGAAAGGACGAGACGAAAAAAACGCTGCAAGGGACGCTACAGAGAGAGAATCGAAAGAACTAAATTATTTGAAATTTTGTTACATTATCCCCCTTACGTTCTTTTCCTTGCTGTGTCCACGAGTATGGTAGGTTAGACAAAGGCACACAGCAAATCTGTATATGTCCTTATCTCACCACTGAATAGCTGACAATCACGGCGGTTGGCATAAGTTAGCGGCGATCTGACCTCTCATGATCCATTTCTCATATGCCTCTCCTTTCACGCGATATATTAGAGTCCGCGTATATGTGTATTATTATAGCCCCTTATACTATTTTGTGTTATGCGATAGTCAATTGTACAGAAATATAACGTAATGTAATATAATGTAAAATATTACATTATGTTTTTGTTGTACGTTGCCATAGGATCAGCTTACGTGTCGCGTAATGCAAAATTTTTATGTAAATAGTATAAGGTGTTTACAATAGATATGTTGTGGTTCTTAGCCAGATAAAAAAGCTTTTGGTGGCTTAAAACGACTTGTAGCAATGACGTATCGAACTAGTGGTTCACTCTTTAAAAATTTAAGTATGCTTATATACGTATATGTATGCGTACAATTTATACATAATAATAGTACCGTCTACTCTTACACCATGCATGCTAATAAATAATAACAGACTAGCGAGCAAGAAGTGCAATGACGAATAATCTAATCGTCTGATTAGTAAGCTAATGATCCTAGTCCGATTCTAGCTAGTGTGGGTTTAGTTTTTTCCTCTTTTTTCTTCTTTATATTTTTTAAACTTAATATTAATGTTAATATATATCGACAAAGCATAAAGAAAATCGTATTTCAATTTAAAATATGTTATACATGTACATATCGAATCATACAAGTATATACAAGTTTCTTTTTATATATTTTTATTTGTTTTTGATATCCTAAATTTAATATTAATGTTAAAGTAAAAGAAGGCGTAAAAAATGTATTGAAAACCAAATTTAAACTAGAATTTATTTATTAACGATTCGATATGTATATATATAATATATTTTAAATTAAAAAATAATTTTCTATATGCTTTGTCGATATATATTAACGTTAATATTAAATTTAAAGAAATATAAAGAAAAGAAAGAGACAATACTAAATCCCACAGTAGCTAGAATCGAATCAGGATCGTTAGTTTACTAGTCAGGTGACTAGGCTACTTCGCCATCGCACTTCTTGCGAATTAGTATAAGAGACTTTTAATTTGTATAAGTAGAATCAGAGAGATGTATCACAGTTACAAAGAGAGAAGTATACGCAAAAGCTAACGCAAACGATAAAATAAAAAAAAAGATAAAACCGCAAAGAAAAGTAAAAGAAAGAAAAGTGATACACAAAAGAGAAAGTGCAACGAATAAAGCCGACTGCACAATATCTCGCCAATTATTCCGATCGTTCGCAAATGAATGAGAAGAACCGAATTTTTTTCATTCCGATACTGAACAGGTCGCGGGAAGCGGCACAATTTTCACAACCGATTTCGTGAAATGGATGCCGCCGTGCGTACCATTATCACACGAGGTTATTCGACGATTCGAGCTAGCGGCCGCTTGTATGAAGGAGTTAGTTCCAAGCGCACCAGACACAATTGGCGACCTTAAGCTTCTGCGCTTCGGTGTGCCACTTGCTGCTAGGGATCAAGCTGGTGACACATTTCTGCGACCAACGTCGCCAAAGGTGACCTCGCGTCTGCTGTACCAATTGTCACTGGTTTAGTCTTCCCGTCAGTACCTGCTCCAGCGAAGGCTCTGGCAAGGCGCATAACGCTCGTTGACCAAGAAATGGACGGGATTGAATGCAGCGAGGTCGTCCAGATCGTCCATCAGCGCTTGCAGCGATCATGAATTTAAGTACGTCTCGATTTGTGCCAAGAGCGTAATTATCTCTTCTAGCGAGTTCTCCACATTGTTCTCCACTGTCATCCTCAGATAGAACACCGCGGCGTATGTGAGCTCTGAAGCGTCAGGGAAGTCATAGAGTTCCGCTATGCAAGTCGACAGCTCGGCACGATCCATCGTGGGATGTGAAGTTCGCGCAGGAGAGGAAGCTCTGTGCAAAACGCCTCCCAAGCGGCAGCGTCCCCAGGGGCAGTGGCTCATTCCAGCCGATCCGCTTCAGCCATGTCGTCTGGATGAAGCACTTAGCCCTCACAATGACGGAATATCCATCCGAGCGGATCGAAGAGTCGAGAAGTCTGCGACAAGATGATGTGCTTCGTGGTACGCCCTCCTTAAATGGTCGAATCACGAAGGAAAAGTGTCGTCGTTCGGCCTCCACTCCAAGCCCAAAGTGGAGTGTCTCTTTGCAACTCGCCAGGCCCGAACACTGTATATCGCCCATCGTCCGCCGGAAAGTCCGCAATCAGCTGTTCGTGGTTAGTTGTCCATTTTCATAGCGATAACTAGCTTGCCGTGCATGCCGCTTCCAGTTAATGGCGCATTTTCAAGGCTTCGCGCATCGTAGCAGCCCCGGTGAGAATGTCATCGACCTCGTCCCGTAAAGTGGCCGCTCCCAGAGGGAACCTGGGTTTTTCGTCATCGGCCAGTCTGGATGGCCAAGAATATGCCTGAATTTTACGCTACAGGATCCTCTGAAGATCGCAGTCCTCCTCGTGTACCAAGATCTGCCAGTACATTTTCTTCATGTCGGCCACGAAGACATAGCGATAACATCACATTAAGTGCATTAAAAGACCCGCCAGGCATAGTCCCACCAAGAAGCAATCGTTGAACGAATATTCCTCACATATTTTCTGAGATCCGTTGAAAACGACTCGTAACTTGGTGGATGTGCCGGACTGCTTGAGCACGCCATGATGCAGCAGGAAGCAGCTCGAGTGCCCGCCGACTCCGACCGGGAAGCGTCAGCCAACATGTGACCGAGAGCCTCATATTCTGACAAGAAATCGTCGTATAGTTGGCGGAATGTTGGATTCTTCCGGAAATCCCCTGCATTGTCTGGAGCATCTGCATCGCTGACTACGTACTCGAAATGTCAAACCCATATTGTTGTTTGATAGTTGATATTTCAATTGGCATTTAGTACAAAAATTGTATCTATCGGATGTATAGTATTTGTTTGGCGTCGGTTGAAAAATGGAAAAGTAAAACGACCGTTTTCGTCATATTTTGCTTCTTTACTTCCGCAAAGGAAAAAACGCATCGCAAGCTCACAAAAAGTTATGTGCTATGTATGGTAACGAAGAACGGCAGTGTCAAAATTAGTTTGCTAAATTTCGTTTTGGTGATTTTTCACTCAAAGATGAACAACTGGTCGTCCAGGTGAAGTTGATGACGACTAAATCAAAACAATAATTGTCATAGCACAACATGTGAGATTGCAGAGAAGCTCGATGTATCACATATATGCATTGAAAAATATTTAAAACAACTTGGCTACGTAAAAAATTCGATTATGGTCCTC